CTGCAGTGGGCCAGCAGATTTATCTTTCTGGGTCTAATACTGCAGTGAATTTTGTGCTAGCAATTGCGAACAAGTCCATTGTCTAATTATAAAAAATAAAAAAAATAAAATAAGTTAACAAAAATTCACGGAATCACGGTTTCACGGATTCACGGATCACGGATCACGGATTCACGGATCACGGATCACGGCATCACGGATCACGGCTGCTAAATGCGCTTTTTAAATTCACGGATTCACGGATTCACGGAATCACGGATCACGGAAAATGCGAGCGCTTTACGAAAGAAAGAAATTGACAAAATGGGACTGTTCGCAGGACTGTATAAATAATTTTTATTTTATTTTATTTGATAATTTTTTTTCTTTCTGAAAAGGTTAAATATTTGACTCACACAGAGATTAGATATTTCACTCACACAGCTAATATATTTGTGCAACATAAAAAAAAAAACACTCACACACAATTGTTCGTTGGTGACGTCCGTAGCGATCGATCGAATTGTAGAAGGGGGGGGGGTAAGTTTTTGGAACCCATATCAAAAGTTGAGAAGAGAAAAAAAATTATTCTAGAATTCTAAAAAAAGAAATCTTCCCTGGGACCTCCATGTCAAGTCTAGGGGTGTACGGGCCCTAGCTTGATGTGTAGCGGTACAGGTTGGTATTATATATATTTATTATCTACATATATTACAAGAAAGGGGAAGGGGGAAGACTGACTAGGCAGCCTTACGGGACGCGGTCGTAGGGGGTCACTGGCTCCTATCTGACCTTCTCGGCCAGCTCACGGGAGAGCAGCAGGCGGAGCTTAGCTGCGTCCCGACAGGTTGATGATACATAAATCATCAACACTCCGGGCGAGCAAGAAGGAGGCGAAATCTGTTGAGATGTAAATAAATAAATACAATCAAAACCTCCTAAAAGCATTTGTACCTAGAAATTGAGATGTAGCTGTGTTCATAAGTGTAAGCTATTAGATTGGTTGTCGAGGTTGATGACTCATAGATCATCAACACTCCGGGCGAGCAAGCAAGAACTTAATTGGTAAGCACAAGATACAACAAATGCATAGATTTGTATAGACTTAGACATACTTATGGGAGCTACAGACAGAAGAGAATTTACGGTGATTAATTGTAGTGGTTGGAGGTTGCTATTCCGTGGTGTAGCTTCGCCTTTCGTCGTCGTCTCTTCTTCCTCGTCGGTTCTGCCGTCGTCGATTTTGAGTTGACAGGATCGTTATCGGTGATTGTCTTCGTGATAGCCGTGGTTTCCATGATCAGATGTTCGTGATGTGTGATCTTCGGCATGTCCTTCATTTTTGTCTTGGCTTGTGTCGTCGGTTGAAGTGTTCTGGCAAGAGTTCCATTCGCACTCCTCGTGTTTGAGCTGGAACTAGAGCCCAATGTGCAGCGAACTTTGGCCAGCCAACGTTGTCTGTCTGCCTTAGCTTCGCGGTTGAAAGCAGCTGTCCGGCGTTTCCTCTTTTTCGGTAACAACTTCGTTGTCTTTTGAGATGTTACTTCAGCATGCGCTTGGAGAATTCTCCTGTTGATTGCATGTGTACTGCTCTCGTTGAAATTGGTGCCCGTTTTCTTCGTCGTCAGCCGTTTGACGTGTCGTTGAGGGTGAGGGGCGGATTTGGAAGCTTCCTGCATCGTTGATGTACAACCAAAAGTGCCAACGATCTCTGTGCTCACGTTGATACGGCTTGTACCGGATATGACATATCCAAAGATGGTTGGGGTTAAGACGAGCCCCGAAGGAAGCTTGAGCACTGTTCCGGTGTGAACAGTGACGAAGTTGAGAAGATCTTGTCCAATAATGAGTTCAGGCAAGACGCTTTTATGAGTGAGCGTATCTTGAGCTATCTTCAAGTTCTTATTGGAAATGAACTGAACATCTGCATCTGTGAGATGTGCTGTATGTAGATTGGCAGTCAACTTGTCTTTCGTATGCACTGATATCTTCTTAAGCTTCTTTGCGTTGTGAAAGCTTTTCAGAGTAACTCGTACTTCATTGGAACTGAATGTCTCTTTCAAATCTCCCATTCCTGAAGTGGTGAATGATGTCGTTTGGCTGACTGGCAGCTTGAGCTCTTCACTAAGTTTTGATTTGATAAAGCTTCGCTGGGCGCCGGAGTCAATCAGTATTGTTGTGAGTTGATAATCCCAATGTTCCTCGATGAATATCATTGCCGACGCCATTTGGAGTACGCTTTGGCGCACGACTGGCAGTTTGCTTGGGCTGTAGACTTCTTGTCCATTTCGCTGAGTTTGTGCAACGTGTACTTCACTCGCTTTGCGATAATCGAAGTTGGTTCTTTGCAGTATCTTGGAGACTTGCAGATGATTGGAGTTAGTAGGAAATTGAGACTGCTCGAGAAATCCTTTCTTCTCTTCTCATTTCAGACCGTCGTGTTTTGTGTCCTGATGGTTGCTTGTTTGAAGGGTACTCGAAATGAGTGTCTCCATCGTTAACGCAGTCGTTTCCCGCAGAGAGATTATGTCGTCGATCGTGTCTAGGATCCTAGAAACATCGAATTGATCTCCACTTGCGGCTTCCTTCTGTATGACGGTTGCGCAGATGTCTGCAGGAAATTTGGACAGAATCATTCTGCGCCAAATTCTATCTGCGCTCATCTTCATTCCAGTTTGTTCCAAGTGGATGATCCGTGAATTGATTGCTTCGAACGTTTCTCGGCAACTTTCGGGACTGTAATTTGCTCCTTGAAGTCGTTCGATTTCGTTGATGAGTATGTCTGCCATTTTGGCAGAGCGATCGAAGTGCTTCTTTAGAATGTTGACGGCTGTCTGATACTTCTCTCCGACTACAGGGATGCAGTTCAAAGCAGCAGCTGCTTTTCATTTGAGCGCTTGCTTTAGAAAAAGGAATTTGTCGCCATTCGATAAGTCTTCGTCGCAGTGAATAAGTGAATCGAACACTGTCCAAAAACTGTTGAACTCTCTGAAGTTGCCAGAGAATGTAGGAACCTCTAGGAGCGGTTTCCGGATCCTGATCTGGCGTTCACTTCGTTCCGTTGTTGAGCCTCTTCCTATCTCGCTGTCTGGCTGACTCGGAATACTAGGAGCAGGCGTATGCAAAAGTGTCGTTTGCTCCCTCAGTTCATGTTGTCTGAACTGTATTCTGTTTTGCCATTGAACTGCCATCACTTCCAGATCGAGTGCTTCCAGCTCCAAATGCTTGCTAAGTTCAACCATCAGCTTCTCTCGTTCCTTTTCTTCACTGCGTGCACTGATGTACTCAATGGCAGCGTTGAGCTGTGTTTCTTGCAATTTCACAGGAATTGAGGAGATTTGTTATTACTCCTGCCTTTTCTTTGATATATTCTTCACATTCTGCTTTTGTTGTTGGAAATGTGAAGGGGACGTCTATGTTCTCCACTTCGGACTCGTAGGATTCTACGAGCTTGCAGACGTTGTTTATTTTGATTTTGAAAAGTTGAAGTGCGGCCATCTTCGAGATTCAATTCCGACTTCTTTTCCTTTTGTCCTACAGCAAGTTGGTTGCTTTGCTGTTTCTTCAACGTACAAGTCAGCGAGATTTTCGCAAACTTGCAGGCTCGTTAGTGGCGTTGTTGAATAGAGACAGCTGTGTGCTGATCTCTGATGAGCAAGCGTGCCTAGGTGGCTTGAACGCTGTGCTGACTGGTAAGGTGACTTGGACCTTGACCAGATAAGGATTGGGTTTCAATCCTTTAAGTCAAGAGTTCTTGGTCGAACTTTGACTTTTTTGGCAAAATGAGCTCTTGTGACTCAAGTTACCTTCCTTTCAAATCTCAATGTATTGATCTCCGGTCCTTGAATAGGATTCGCGAGAGATCTATGAGATTGATTGGAAATTTGCACCCACAAAAATTTGTTCCGCTCTTTGGATCACTCACGAAAAGGATTCACAGAAAGTTTCACGGTCTTATGTGGTTATGTGCTGCACTCACAAAATTTGTTCCGCTCTCTGGATCACTTACGGAAAGGATACACAGAAAGTTTCACGTATTAATGTGATTATGTGCTCCACTTGACTACTCTTTCACTTTCTGGATCACTTACGAAAAGGATACACAGGATGTTTCAAGTTGTCTGTGGTTGTGTGGTAACACAGATTCTTTCCCACTCTCTGGTTCGCTTACGAGAAGGATGCACAGAGAGGTTTCAAGAATAGTTCACACGACCGACTGATTTCTCCTACACCTCTCTGGATCACTTACGAAAAGGATGCACAGAGATTTTCAGATAGTCAGTGGTGTTCCTTCCGATTTCACTTACACCTCTTTGGATCGCTTACGAAAAGGATACACAAAGATTTTCAGATAGTCGGTTGGTTCTTCTTCCTGCCACGCGGGTCTTGTGGCCTCGATTCCTCCGGTTGCAGATGGAATACGAGGTGGTTGCACTGGTCGATGCACCAATTTGGTGGGAACCAAGTGTCGTAGGCGATAGTGGTGTCGATAATAATTTATCCATAGACGAACCCGGTTTTGGACCGGGGGAGCAACGTATAATACAATCGGGGGCTCCTTATATAGGAAGTAAGGCGGAGCTGACCCGTGCACAATCGGAATGTCCATGAAATATATGCAAGAAAGAGGATGCCGCGGCTTGGCGCGGCCCCTGGAAGATAGGTGCCACTCATTGGTGAGTGATTCGGCACTTAAATATAAGCGATTGGGGAATATAGCCTATGGGAAATACCCGTAAGCTATTAGGATTATAGAATTGTTAAGGTTGATGATACATAAATCATCAACAGTAGTTGTTGCCCTTACATATTGAGAAAAAAATTAATATCGCGATATGATTCAGGGTCTTTCGCTGTACATTGAAAGCGGACTAGTACCACTTGCTCGTCAGAAGCAAAAAATCAAAAAAGAAGTTTTGCGTGGTCTGCTGAGAGTGTTCTGTAAAGTTACAAGTTAGGGATTACTTTGAAGTTAACGTTTGCTGAAGCTTATAATGGGCTCACTAGAATCACTTGCTCACCGCTCTTATATTCGGAGCATCCGTGGAAAGTCTTGTAGTCAGTTTACCTGATGCGTGATCATCGTGATCGAAATATTCTCCATCCTAAACTCAAAATGCTCAGGCGAAGTCTTCTCATTTGGTATTCTACCTGTTTTATAATATTGGTGAAAAGTGACATCCTTAGCCTTCTGGTAAAAGATTCACCAGCTCTTCCAAATAGGAAACCCGAGAGCATAGTGCTGCATCCACTAGATATCCCGAGAATTGTGAACCATATAGCATTCATCATTGCTCCGTGGAGTTTCTCATCATTCGTTTCAGCAGTCAAAGTCTGCAATTTAGCCCTGTGCACCAAATTTGGTCCAGAGTTGTGCCAGCGCCATGCTAAGACGTTCCAGCTCTCGTGTCACGTGGTGGCTCAACATGGATCGCTCGATACTTGCATGTGGATTCTGGCACGGCTTTGGAACGGCACATGGCGCTGGCAGAGTCTGGCACAGGGGTGACTCTAGTCTATGAATTGAAGTTCTTACTTTGAACATTTTACCATAGATTATGGAGAAAACAGGAAAAGTCATTCCTCGTACAGCTGAAAAGACAAGCGCCACCACCAGCTGAGGCCATTCAGCACGTGCATGTTTGATAATGTCCAAAATGCTTGCATTATGCGTATTTTTTGCCGAGATCTCTTCCTAAAATGGTTGTAGAGCAAATTGTGCAAAAAAAAAACTGACTCGACACACCTGGAGTTCATCGAGTTCCAATTTTTTGCTTTCAGAAGTATTTGTGACAGCTCGCGACAGCCTTCTGCTTAATTTTCTAATGAGTCCGTTCTGTTTTTGTGTTTTTGCACCAAACGACGTAAATTCTGCATAAAAAGTCTTTTCTAGGTGGATGCGGAACGGTAACAGTGGCTGTTTACCTTCTTCTTCCTCTTCTACCTTTTTCTCAGCTTTCTCTATTTCTTGTGCCCTCACGAGATCAGCATAAACACCTTCCTTTTTCATTAACTCGTCATGCCGACCTTAATTTAAAGAATTACATTCGTTCTGATAACGATGTTTTTTTACCATCTTCCACAATGCAGCCGCTGTTGAAGACATAGATATGGTCCGCGTTTTTGATTGTAGAAAGTCTATGCGCTATCGATATAGTCGTTCTGCCACCTAATACCTAAACATACATAATTTAGGAATTTGACAGCTAATCTGGTGCCCTTGCGGTGACTGCAACTCTTGCACGGAAACAAATTTGATGTTTGTAAGTGCCGGTGATTCGCGCGGGATTTGCGAAAATGGCCATAGGACGTCAGCGTTAATTACGCGCGAATGTTTTCAGTAATGTAAACACGCCAAAGCTTGCAAATGAATTAGAAAGTTTTGCAAAAGTACAACTTACATTGTCCAATGCCTCCTGAACAATGCTTTCGCTTTCAGCGTCCAGTGCGCTGGTAGCCTCATCAAGCAGCAGTATGCGAGGATTCCTTGCAAGGGCCCGAGCAATAGCTACTCGCTGCTTTTGACCACCAGAAAGTTGCACACCTCCCTCTCCTATTCTGGTCTTATAGCCCTAAATCGTGTTGTAGCGACTGATAACTTAACATGATATAAGACCAAAGGGTATAAATGGGGTCAAGAAGTTTAATGCATCCACTACAAGTACTTTTCAATCTCTGCCGTTTCAAACCTGTTTTGAAAGAAGTGGAAAGAAAGGGAGGAGAGAAGAGGTCTCCCATAGTTTACGATTACGAAAATTTTAAAAGAAACGCTTACTTGAGATAGACTCATAATAAAGTCGTGAGCATTTGCCATCTTGCAGCATTGCACCATCTCGCTTTCAGATATGTCAGCGCGTCCTAATCTTATGTTATTTTCCACCTAAAAAACCTCTAAATAATGACCAAGATCAAATTTGACAAAGTTTCATTTTTTAAGAGATTCTGAAATCTACTAGCAATGTCATGGACTGCTAAAGGCCGTAAAATTATGGAAATGCAATTAGATCTAAGGATATATTTCTTGCAAAAAAAAACGATGATTTCATCTACCAGTTTACAGTCATTGCACTGTAAATTCAAAAGCTACACCAAAATGTCTAAGAAAACAATCATATTATAATCGCCGAGATGCCTGTCCCAATTTGTAAGTTTTCAAATTATGTGTGCGAGTGCATAAATTTATCACTTTATTTAGAAGGCAAAATATTTATGATATATCATTCAACCACAAGTGCTGCTAAGCTAAAGCACACTGTATTCCTCTCAGATGACCTATTTTTAGGTTGCTAAAGTTTGGATCGCTTTAGTACATGGAGAAAAGTTACTGTACCTGCTTTAATGACCTGTATTTATTGATACACGAGAACTGCTTTTCTATCAAACTTCATGCTTTGAGAAAAGGTCCACTTTATACTCGTCTCTACGGTTTATATCTCTGTAGGCTTGAATGATTCGAAACATACCGTATCAGCAAAAAGAGCTGGCTCCTGCGACACGACACCCACAACGTTTCGTAAATACTCGATGTTGAAGTCCTTGATTGGAGTGTCGTCTATAAATATCTAAATATCACGTCTCTCTATATGTCTGACCTTGGAGCACTGCTATATCCCTCGAGAACTGATATTCAATAACTGATGAGAGATTTAATGCATAGCTTCATCTGTTTATGGAGTTAACACTTACTTGTCCTGACTGCTGTTCATAGAATCTAAGGAGCAGACCAACAAGTGTGCTTTTCCCACAACCACTATGCCCAACCAGTGCGATATGCTGACCGCTTTTGACATTGATGGTAATTCCTTTCAGCACTTCAACCTGAACGTGGCTCAAACATATTAAACTAGAAGTAACAAAAAGCCAGATTTACCTCGGGACGAGAAGGATAAGAGAACCTCACGTTTTCTAATTTTATTTCGCCTTTGATATCTGGGATTTTCCCAGCTTTTGAAGTGGAATTTATCGGCGGCTCCTAAATATGTTTGGGTGAGAAAGTCACTGAGGTGAATATGGGAAGAACTTCACCCTGTCAATAATGGCGAAGATGGGTGCAGCAGCCGTTGTGCTGGCTATAAGGGTTCCAATTTGCGGGGCAGCTTGACCTACAGCGAAAGCTCCACCGATAACAGCCCAAAATACAGCAAAGACAGTTCCGGGTGTTATGCTGCCGGATATCACCAGCTTTGTTCCGTACCTTCAAGTGTGAAACTAAGTTTATTTGCCATCTCAAAAATATTCTGTTTTCCCTGTGCTGATAGCACATCAATCCAGTTAGTAGTAGATTAGTCTCGCTCGGCAAAAAACGCCTTGGAATTCTCTTCGTTCTTAATTTTTTCATTTAGCATTGTACAAGAATATGAAAGCTTTGGCGGACGATTCGGAATCTTTGAAAATAGACGATTTTTCATATCTATGCGGTACATTAGCAACCTTACCAGAACGATATAGCCATTGAAACAAACAAAGCGCCCATAATAAATGCTGTTCCAAACGATGTCAGCAATGCCTTTCTTACTCCATACTTCATTCCTTTGTCCAGGTGATTCCCATACCTGAATTGTTGACGTACGACCAGTGCTGTGTCTGGATGTAATACACGGTGTCCAGAAAATTGCGCACTGTTGATTGTTAGTAACTCTCTTGTCATGACTTTCGAAAAGCTTTAGGTGCCATTTTGTAGAGCTGTCAACCGCTTTCATTACTATAAAATTACGATACGAACGTTTGGCTTATGGCGTCACTGTCAAAGAGCTGCCGTGTTAAATAATTTCAAGAAAAAAAATTGGAAATTTGTGTAATAGGTTTCTCATGGATGCAAAGTACAGTACTTTATTCTATACAAAATCGTGAAGCTTTCAAACAACTTCCACATTTTTGGCAAAAAAAAAACCCGAAAAACGGTTGCTACTTAACTGGCATAACTTTTTGAGGAAACACTACAGAGTGTCCCAAAAAGATGCGCACACTGTTTGATCGTTAAAAACTCTCTTGCTTTCATGTCTTTTGCCGAGCTTGAGGTACCATTCTGTAGAGCGAGGTTAAACTTAAATTTACAGTATGGAACGAGTTTCCAACCGCTCTTCATTACTATAGGATTACGGTATGAATTTTCAGCATACAGCGTCACTGTAGAATAGGCCTTACGGTGAAATAATTTCGAAAAAATCTGAAAGTTTGTGTAGCAAGGTTTTCGGGCGTGCTGATTTCGCTACGTAACTTTTCACCAGTTTTTCGAGCTCTCTTGATGGCGTATTCACATTCCTGACGAACATTGGAAAAAAATTGTTGCATTAAATCTGAAATAACTTATGGAAGAAGAGCTGTACTGAAGTGCAAATTTCACAGTTAGAACCAGAGACCTCAATTAGCCCAGTTCAAGAGTTTCTGACTTGTTTGGATTTCTTTCCGAAGCAAAATACCGCTTTCAATGCCTCAAATCCCTCTGGAGGTTTCTACCGTAATCGTACAGTAATGAAGATCGATTGATAATTTGCTCCATACTGTAAATCTAAGTTGAAGCTCGCTCTACAGAATGATACCTCAAGCTCGGCAAAAGACGTGAAAGCAACAGAGTTATTAACGATCAAACAGTGTGCACATCTTTTTGGGACACCCTGTATAATGGGATGCAAACTTCACACTTAAATCAGCAACTCTTAGCTTTTTTCAATCGTTTTGATCCTTTCTGAGCCAAGATATGAGCCATGGCTTAAAACCCTCTTTAGAGTTCCTAATGTAATGATACAGCAATGAAGATACTGCACATCTATGCTGAAGCCTGCTCTACGACATGGTGCTTAAAGATTCTCCAAAAACCTCCAGACAAGAGAATTATTGATAGTTAAACAATAGGCACATTTTGACACCCCTGTATAATCGTCGACTACCGTTTTATCTCTTTCTCTTGGCCGTTAAATGCCATAACGGTCCTTATGCCGTGAATCACTTCTTCTGCAGTGCCACCAGCATCTGTATAAGCTTGTTGCTCCTTTGGTGCGATTTTACCCATCAACTAAAAATCAATGGCGTATTGGAGCTTTCAAGGATCAGTCATCAAATACCTTTGAAGCAATTGTCAGAGGTCCAAAAAAGAGCGGAAAGAAAGCGATCATAACCAGAGTCATTTGCCAGCTAAATAATCGGTTTAATGACAGAAAATGACCCAAATCAGTTGTTCTCAAAACTTCTAGAGAAATGAATTGCTTATGTAGATTGTAATCGCACATTTACGACAAATTCAACTTTGGAAATTAGTGAATTACGAGTCAATCTATCCTGAGCAGAATTACCTGTTCCACACAGCGACATTTATCCCGGCAATGAATGTGGCGAAGTAGGCAAACATTGCTCCAAGCTTGTCACCTATACCGTCTCGTATCCGATCGATGCCACTGAAAAATTGTTGATTTGACCAATTTTTATGCCAAAGAAAATTTCGTTCACCAGAATTTTAGGATAAAGACTTGTAGGCTTTCAAAGAGACTCTTTCCTTTGCTTTTGCAATGTTTTTCTCTCCTCCGTAAACTAGAAATTGCGATCACAAATGCTTTCTTCAAATCTTCCAAGCAGTGTCCCCTTTCTCGTTCACCTCGAAGTTTCGTAATTTGCCTTCCTCGAGGGTATAGACCATTCGAAAAATCGTGACGATGGAGCGACCGCGCGCGACACACACGCATCCGCCGACAGCCGCATTTTTCAGGTTTCCATCTTTACTCGAATAGTTTTTCTGCTTAAACACGGCAGTATTTAGACATTGAGACTGAACTGAGAGTTGAGGTGCCGTTTTGTATGAGTGTTTCCTGCTCTTGTGGGCGCAGAGACCGCAGTCAAGTCCGTCGTCACGACTTTTCAAACGATGTATACAACCTTCCCTTCCAAGCCATTGATATATTTTTTCTAGAGAAGAACATGCCCAATGGTTTTCAACGTATGAAAAGTAAAAGGTGAAGCATTTAGATCTTTGGTTCTGTGAATCCAAATAAGTTTCTCGAAAAAACAAAGGCACACAAAATGTCACATACCTTTTAATTTAAGTGTTGACAGCTGGAAGGCGGAGCTCATGCCCCAATTAAGGCTAGGTAATGATCAGAGAGCAAGCGCACGAGAGAGACGCAGACTGCGTAGCGGGAGCGAGCGGCCTTAATTAGGTCACGAAGCCCCTCCTTGCAGACGTCAAGCCAGTTAAATCAAAGGTTATATTTAGCGTAATGTCTTAAACATCATTAGCACTGAAAATGGAAAGTGGATGAAGGTTTACTCGCTCATCCTTGTAGTAAGTGCACCGCTTTCATTTTTATCGAACCAAGCCATATCTTGCTTGAGAACGGCGGCAAAGTAGCGATTTCGTATTTGATACACTTGCCGCTCGCAGACGGTGTGCCAACAACACATCTGCAAACCGATCAAATTATAAAACTCGATAAAATTTGGGAAACTTACCGAGAGAAAACCTAGCGCAAACTGCCCGGCACCAAATAAGGCGTAATTTTTGACTGAAGTCATAGCGAGTTGCTTGAACTCGTAATCGTCGAATATGCCCATGTCCCATTCAAATTGACCTGCAATTTGAAACAAAATTAGATCTGCGAAATTTTCATCAGTTCATTACCTATGATAAGTGCGTCCGTGAGATGCCTGAATATAAGTGATGAACACGAGTTGAGAGTACCTTGCGTTGCAGCAAGCAATGCTCCGAAGAACATCAGAAAATAATCCAGCTTGGTTGCATACCGAAACTAAACTTTTCGTAGTTGCTTTGCAGAAAATCTTATGCAAATCGTTTTACTACCGGATAGGTGTGGAAAATTAGTAAGAACCAGCAGCAACAAAAACGTTTTACTGTTAGCTTTGCCTTTGCACACAAAGAAATCTGAGATAACTGGACTTTCAACCTTTGATTTGGCTTGGCGGCTGGAAGGCGGGGCATTGTAAACTAATTAAGGCCGCTCGCGCCCGTGACGCAGTCTGCGTCTCTAACGCGCGCGTGCTCTCTGGTCATTATCTAGCCTTAATTAGATGAGGAAGCCCCGCCTTCCAGCCGCCAAGCCAAATGAATCAAGGGATGATTGTACAGTGAAAAGTAAAGCCTGAGCTACCTGGTTACAATTCATCTCATACGCATTTCAAAATGACTCACCAGCACTGGGATGGGCACCCTGTCCTTTGCTTCTTCCTTGGGAGGGCTGAATCTGAGTGGAAATCAGTGGCGATTAGCAAAAGTCAATAGTTAACTCAAGTAATTAGAATAAATACTGAAGGAAATCAGCTATCCAAATCGTAGATTGATTTTAACTATAACTGAAATTCTTTGAACGTTGTTTTAGCTGAAGCGATTTTGAAATTTTTTTGTTGAAAGAATAAAGCGTTGATTTGGCAATGAGTATTTGGGAAAGATTTTGAAGCTATTTGCGTTAGTTTTGAGTTAAGTCGTTTCTAAACCTGTGCTTGGTGACAAATATGAAAATCGTTTCTCCGTAAAAATCGGTTTGACTAAAAACTGTTGTTACGATGGAACGGGTCTAAAAAATTGACATTTTTACATATGTGAATTTACAAAAATTTCTCTAAAAATCTATTTCGTTGCTTCTGGTGACTATTTGTTATATCATTTTTTAAGAAAACTTTAGAAAATCAACTGCTTACTTTTCCGGGTCGGATTTCTTGTGCTTCGATTTCGTTTTTCCTGACACTGTCATAGTATTATAATATCAATGCAGGAGGATAACCACGAAAGAAGCAAGACGAAAGTTCGGAATGATTTGAGTTTGAGGTGATGACGGAAATTAAGCGTTGAGATAAGAAGTCTTAGTCAAATAGAAGTGCTAGGAAACAGACGATTCCCTTATCACTACTACCCTCGCAAAGCTGCTGCCGTGCTAGCTACAATTTGGCACAATCTTCAATTTTGCGGCGCATATGCCCTTTTTATACATATAACTTTTTCAGAATTGTTCAAATCAAGTTCGGTTTCAGTGGTGTAATGGTCGGCCTTTGTGTGATGAAGTCAACCCAGCTCACATTACTGAAATGAAAGGAAAAGAGTAGCGCTGTACAAAAGCGTAAGAAATTGCAAAAGCTTGCTGTGGGTAAACAATTGATAATCTCAAATGTTGAATTTGCGTGATTACTTTTTCATCGCTTGTCCATACGATTTTCTGCACAATAAAGCACTTAAACAAGAAATCTTATGCAAATCAATCCCAGCTTGATTTCTTCGGACTGCCAAAAAGGTTTGGAGGTCCCTGGACTGCTAAGCAAAATGAAGAAGTTTGTGAAACTTTATTAGGAATTGCACGCAAAATAGCAGAATATGCAAGTACTCATATTTTGGTTTATGTTTTGATTCATGTAAAATGTTTTTTACATGACAAGAACCATAAACGTTTGCATATGTCTTATCATGCTTGCCGATAACATTAGTGGTACACAAATTTACCATGCACTAAAGTTACCATGCACTTTTGTTATGTTTATTCAATGTTGAACTCGAAGTGTTATCAGCATTTGCAGATGTCAAGTTAGAAGTCGTGTCTATAGAAAATGCAAAGAGGAACCTAAGTGTGGTCAAGGCGGAGTTGCTAAAAGAATTTTTCTGGTAGAATTGCAAAAGAGCAACGAACTATCGAAAGTGTGAATTTCGTGTTTATCGCATGAGCTAATGCGTAAAATTAATAGAAGTCGCGAAGGAGTGAAGGGGATGGCCATTTTGTTTACATTTCTCACTTGGCAATGCATAGTAATGGCATGGCATCAATTTTGTTGTGTATACACGTCATGTGGAAATCTGTCAAACTACAAATTAATCTTTGTGAATAGAGAGTGTGCTTAACTTTTTCCTAAATCAGTGTCAGTCTCTCATAATGAAAGTGACAAGACCTCCAGTTCACATTTTTAGCGTAATATTTCAAACATTTTATGTTTTGGTACTTAGTTAGAACTCTGAGTAAGATCGAACAACACGTCATGGTTAGAAAGGAAGGAGCGGGCGCTCTAATGAGACAATGCAGTACAGCTAGCAACCGAAGGGGGAATATGCAGAATCTCGAGTTGAGCTGAGAGGGGGATCTTTTTTAGAGAATTGTTGCCTTTGTGCCGGACCCTGGTCATCGAAACAATACACACTTTTTGAGGTTCTGTCAGGCGACTCAGCACCTCCTTCTTTCGAACGAAACTTTTGATCGACGTTAGTGTACAAAAAATGAATATAACGTTCAGCTCTTTTAAGCGCTAACGTAACTTTAGGCTGCTCCTCGCATTGTAGATTGATATCAGCATAATCTGCTAGTACTGAAGCACTGTTTATAACAGTTGACTTCGCAACTCACTGTGAAAGTACACATTAACTCTGCAAATGGAGTTTAAAACTCATTTCGTCACTGTGCAGATTGGCAATGGAGTTGTGGAAGTTGTCACTTAAATAACGGAGAAATTGATACCTGAAGAAGGTAAGAAAAACGGGACAACTGTTAAGTAATGAAAATGTGAGGAACGCGTACGCAAAAAAGCTTCTCATCTTGTTATTTATTTCCATTTTGTCACGATGTACCTGCAAGGCCAAACTGCAACAGCTTTGGTTTTTTCTGTATTTGACTAGCTGGTACACTCGGCTCACCCGAATCTTGTCAACAAATCACGATATAAATCACCACCCTATCGCGCTTTTACATACATAATTTTTTTAGTCAGTTACCGGATTGACAGTACTCACTCTTGAAGCAAATCGGATTAATCAAGACAATCATAGAGAAGAAATGAGACATAGATTAGAGTACAATGATCGATGCAATAAAAGACGGACCTATGACGTGATTCAGGTATTCTATGAGATGTAGTGGGAGCTAGACGATGACTGGGATAGTTCCAAACCTTAGTTCAAGTTACTTGTACGCATAAACTTCGCACAAAATGTTCTACCCGGCGCTAAAGCTTTATTAGCTTTGCAAAATCTAATAATCCAGAGAAATCCGAAAACCTAGGAGTAATTTTGTACAAAAAAGATCTTGAATCTTCTTTGCGTCTTTATATGAATACACAAATTTGCCTGGTGAAGTGTAGCCATTCTAACCTGAAACCATCAGGACCGCTCCCTTTCGTATCATAGAGATGAACGATTCAATCATCTTCATTATCAAGGGGCGGCATCATGTATAGTGTTGTTGTCATGAGTTATACCCAGTTCTTAAGACTCTTCCCCACATCACCATTTCTGGAGGAAAAAGCAACTATCATAACTATTTCTTACACTCAAACATAACTGTATATATGTATATCGACTGAAGACTGCATTTCGTAACTACAAAACATCCCACAAAATATGAGATTTCCGGATTTATGGAAGAGTTGGAGTACTTCTGTCACTACTTTTGTGATATACATCGGATATGGTAAATGACACTAAAATATTATTTGAGTTCAATTTCTAATCTACAAGTAAAATCTACAAGTAATCAACAAACATATCCATTTCTTCACTGTTCCATAATTAAACTGCACCTTCACGCAAGACATGTATTTCAAGAAAAAGAAAACGCAAACATGACCTTCCTACTAGTCAGGTCAACGGCCTTTTTCATCATTTTGTCAATTCTAATTGATATGCTTCTGAATTTTTTTTTACAAAACTCCGATTCTTAGTGTTCCTTGTGTCTGTAACGGCGGAATGACCCTTGAAAGGTTTGATATTGCTTGTGTCCGTTTGGAAATACCTTGCCAATGTCCTCAAAAATCCGCTATAGGGTTCAGGCCAATGGTATATGGTGGCCATCGTTATAGCTTCACGCAATATTGGCTGAGAACGCCCCAACATTCTGATATTGACATATACATGAATCTATGAATTGCCCCAAAGGCTAAAGCGGAGCCTCCGCTATAGTCTTTACAACACCTCAAAGCCTCCGCTTTTTGGTACTTTTCCGTTATCCGGACCCATTTTTTCAAAGAGGGATACTGCTTCTTTCCTTGCACCATATTCGTTCCCAGCTTCATAGGGAAGAGTGTCAGCCTTCCACCACGTGTCAAAAAAAATTTGACATGCCATCTACATGTTTAATAAGTTTTACCAGGAGTTCATGTTGCCCTACCTAGCGATGTAAGTTCAACATTTTTGGTCAATAATGACCTTATTTTCGATTAAACAATTCCAAAAATGGCATTGTTATAATAATAACGTCGCCCTCTTATCAATGAACATACTAGACATGTCCAGAGTAGAGAAATGCGCTAGGGTTCCATCGTCTAAGCGGCGAAAAGCAGCAGCGAGGTACTACTTCAAGCCATCATTTGTAGACTTTTTTGGCTAAACTCGCATGGCGGAAAGTTTGAAGAGAAAAACATTTTTGAATCATTGCTAGAAGCAATCAAGATATTCTAGTAATGGTTCTAGATTGTTTTGCTCTTATGTAAAGCAGCTGGAGAGCTTCTTAGTGGTTACAAATGCTCTTTTACCTCACCGAAAATGATTTCGAAAAAACGTGTCAAAGTGGACTAGAACGTGTCAATTTTTTCCTGACACGTGGCAGAGAGGCAGTCCTCTTAGAATCTATGAAAATTTGTACTTAGACTACCGAACGTATTTTATAAGAGCTTTTTGAAAAAATGGGTCCGGATAATGGAAAAGTACCCGCTTTTTTGCTAACATGATGTAACCCTATGTTAAAGGCAGTGTCCGGGCAGAAACTCGACTTCTAAAAAATCAACTTATCTG